TATTTCTTCCACTAAACTATGAAAACCTTGATATTTTAACCTTGGGCGAGCTTGACTTTATATAGGTTAAGTGGGTTTCCCTCTAGATTTCCAATTTTACCCCTAAATAACTTTTTTCCGGACCGGACATGCGCGAGCTCGCGCGTAACTTCGCACGTTTCTTCGTTGTGATTCTGCCTCAGCTTTTCTTACGCATGAACTACTGCGCGACTTCACTCGTTTCTTCGCACGTCTGGAGCCTGGTTTCGTCCATTTTTTCGTCTCGTCCTTGCGCGCACTCGACTCCGAGGGGTTTTTCTTGCTCATAAATCATTCCAATATCCTCTTGAAAGCATCATATAGGCTCCTCATCCTGCAATGTATACATATCACAATTAGAGCCTATTTTTCGTCAATTAACCATAATATGTCATTGGAATATAATCAAGCGGAAGCATAAACAATAGCTAAATCACTTAGATTTCACCTATTATCGACAACCCACACTTAATTCATTGTTAGTCCTCGAGCAATCAACTATACTCTCTAGAGAATCCTTCACTCAACCATTTCCCTTAACGCATTACACCTAGAACAATGTACATGTATTACGCCTAGTAGTGAACAATCCTAGCCCCAAAATCGACTCTCAAATGCCATGCAATATTCACACTTCCTCAAAGTACTCTACATAGAAGTCAAGACTTGCTTTTCCGTCACGAATCATATGCCCTCACAATTACATCAACAAAAACTGAGTTCAATCCACCACATTCAATTCATATACTCACATATATCAAGGAAATCACTCACTCTCACAAAAGAGGTCACATGCATGCAATTGGTACCATAAGCTTGCCCTTAATGTATATCTCTACTAATGTAGGTTAGCTCGATCCAAAATCAATTAGGACTTTTCATGGTTGTAATGTGGGCTAAGGGACGGGTAGGATATATTTAGGAATAGTGACTCAACCCCTAAGCACTTTAACATATCACAAGAGCAATTTTTTTAGCGCAAATTCTTCAACCCACTTCTCATTCACACACAATATCATCCCACAATACTCCCTTCTTCTTTAAGCACTCTATTAATTCATTCCCACTAGCTGGAACAAGATACAATGTAATCATCTCTTCTTCTTTTTTCAGTTTATTCTTCTTGTCACTCAATTTCTGCTAGTGGTGTATTCGTTTACAATATTAGTACACCTTTCATCCTTTTATTTGTTCCACTCAAAAATCACTCCACACTTATTTCCCTCTTACTTCTTTTAGCGCTCCTCTCACAATTAAAGTGCTTTAAGAGGTAAAAGGATCAAACAATGTCAATTAAGAACAAAAGGGTATAGGCTTGTAATGCGGGTGCCAAACAAAAGTTTAAAGGCTCAAAAGGGTTAACTAGGGACAAATTTTATTTGTGATAAGCCATTAAGCTCAAAAAGGTCAAAAAAAGCCTAACATCATTTTTCAAACCGAGCATCACCTAAAATTTTGCTTCAACTCACATACCGGGCAAGTTCTAGATACAAGTACAATACATGGACTACACAAATACTCATCACACATGGCATATGACTCATTCAGATCAGCTCATCAAGACACTCCATTACGAGCATTCAATTCACTAACAAACATAAAAATTAAGGTACTTTCAGTGAGATTCAACAATTAGGACTAAGCGTTATACTCTAGGGTCTATTGTGTTCAGGTGTGTCAACGATATGAGTTCTCTTTCAATTTTTATAGCTCGTAGCCCATTACCCTAATCTACAAATCAAAAGAAAACAAAAATAAAAACTACCTATTTCCGGTTCAAGCTAAACCCTTGGAAAAGAACCGCGGCTTAAAGAAAAACCAAGGGGGAATTGCTACACTACCTAAGAAAAAATATAAAAAATATTTTTGTTGTTTTCTTTAGACTCACTTCCCTCAAGAAAATCGTCTAAAAGATCCGTCATCAGGAACTACTCAGTCCCTCAAGAACCCTGTCAAAAGGGACCCGTTGTCGGGCCGAGCCATTTATCTGAATTAACACAAAAAACTACTTCTGCTTAACAAAAACTATCAAGTCAACATGAAACAAACAAGACAACCCGGCAATTTGTACAACTATATACATCATACAATGAAGGAATCCCCCACCCCACACTTAAAAAGAAGACATGTCCCCATGGCTTAAAATTTAAAAGAGCAGAGAGGTAAAGAGACTACCCTGAAGCCTCACTCTTGATCGAAAACGGTTTCGGGGTTCACGTTGCACGCACGCCCCAAAGCTCACAGCCAACCCATGAACTTCTTTTCTGACTTGACTTGTCGGTCAGCTATCGCGTCCACACGAGTGCCCAAATCATTCATGGAGGTGCGTAGACCAACCACCTCCTGCTCCAATGTGGTGTGCCGGGACACTCTGGCAGTTCCTGAAGAGGACACTGCTCGTGACAGTGTTGCAGCTGTTACGCTGGGCGCATGGGCCTGCGCTTCGCCCTCCATATCCATTTGCTCTTCCTCTTCCTCCTCCGATGCATCAGAACCACTCTCATCCTCTCCACCTTCCGCTGTTGCTGGGGCTTACCCCGAGGTGTTCTTGTCAGGTCGGATCTTGTGGCTTTTTCTTACCAGCCCGTCCACACGAGTATTTTCAGGTACCTGCACTTTCCTGCAAAGCTTAGTCACCAAGGATGGGAAAAAGAACCCATACAGGCGTTGGGGGCATCGGATAAACATCTCGTCGTAGATCACTTTGGCCATGTCGAAGGGAAGACCCTTGATGAAACACCAAATCAGTGCATCCTGGGGTCCATTCACCTCCGTAGTATTTTTGGAGGGAATAAGGTGACTGTTAATCACATACAGCCAACTCTTCGCCTCTGGGTTATGATGGAGGAGTGGAACTTCTCTCCATGTTCCAGCCACTCTACCACTTTTCCTGGTATGTAAATGTCATTAAAGAAACGCTCTNACAGTGCTGCAGCTGTTGTGCTGGGCGCATGGGCCTGCGCTTCGCCCTCCACATCCCTTTGCTCTTCCTCCTCCGATGCATCAGAACCACTCTCATCCTCTCTACCTGCCGAAGCTGTGAGGCTGCCCCCGTGGTGTTCGTGCCAGGTCGGATCTTGTGTCTTTTTCTTACCAGCCCATCCACACGAGTATTTTCAGGCACCTGCACATTCCTGCAAAGCTTAGTCACCAAAGATAGGAAAAAGAAGCCATACTGGCATTGGGGGCATCAGATAAACATCTCGTCGTGGATCACTTTGGCCATGTCGAAGGGAAGACCCTTGATGAAACACCAAATCAATGCAGCCCAGGGTCCATTCATCTCTGTAGTATTTGTGGAGGGAATAAGGTGACTGTTAATCACATACAGCCAGCTCTTCGCCTCTGGAGTTAAGACGGATGAGTGGAACTTCTCTCCATGCTCCAACCACTCTACCATTTTTCCTGATGTGCAAATTTCATCAAAGAAGTGCTCCCACTTGGCATCGGTTGGATTTCGCCCATATTCATAAAAGTCAGTATTCTCAGGCAGAGGGTCGGGCAATTGATAAGCTGTGCTTATCGCCTCAATGGAGGCATCCACCGCCTTACGGCGCACTGTGACCACATGGTTGACATGCTCTGGTAGATTAACATAGAATTCTCATACAACCATTACATTAGCCTCCCCTGGCTTGTCAATGAAGGCCTGCAAACCCCGCTCCATCAACTTATTGTACATGTGGGGGCATCGTTCCTTGACCTTTTTGATGTTGATGCCCCTCTCCGGGATTGCTTTCTTGGCCGCCTTCTCTGTAAAACGGGTCTGAGCCTCAAAGGAGACAAATTTGTTGTTGTCATAGGAACGTGCAGGAGCTGCCCTTTGGCGGCTTGAGGATGGACCCGTGGCTTGGCGCTTTTTCGGTGGTGCCATAATACCTGTAAAACGTGGACACATTAGCTCAGCCCAACAAAAATAGTGTGACTTGATGCGGTTACTCAGACTTCACACGCAAAGTTGGTCACAACTACATAATCATGCTCATTGAGGCCTTTCCGCAAATACCTTGTGGGCATTAGGCTCTCACAGCTTTTTTCTAAGGATCTTGCAACAAGGGCTTCCCACAAAAGCTCATCCATAACCCAAATCAAGTACTACCCACCCCACACTTACAACAAACTAACCCCACAATATATTTCTCCAAGTTTGAACACCAAATCACAAAACACATCTACACTAATGGTATAAGATACAACATAACAAAATCTGAAAATAGAAAGAGAAAAAGAAAGAAAACTAAAACTAGGGCTCATACCTTGTTAAAAATCGTGAGATAGGGAGATGATGCTAGTGATTTTTTGGGAAGGGAATCGTGAGAGAGGGTGATAAGGGCAGGGGTGCTGGAATTTAGTGTCTTTGAAGGGATTGGGAGATTTTGGAAGAGGGGATATGGGTTTTGTTTAATAGAAGGGGGGGGGGGGTAAATGTGTCTAAACAAATAACCTATTAAACTACAAAAATAAAAGAAATAAAAAGAAAAACTAAAACTAAAAAGAAAAACAAAATGCCTGAAAAGTTCCAGGCTGAAAGGCTAGCCCAGGTGCGCGAGCATACGCGCGAAGTTTGGAGATCGCGCGTTTGTTCGCGCGCTTCCGTTTAGTTCCAGGCAGAAAGGTTCGTGAACTTGTGCGTGAAGTTTGGAGCTCGCGCATTTCTTCGCGCGGGTTTGTTGAGTTCCAGGCATAAAGGTTCGCCCAGGCGTGCGAGTATACGTGCGAAGTTGGTGCGAAGTCGCGCTCCTGGGCGTTTAGTTTTGCATTTAATGTCACCTGTTTTGCTCCTGGTTGATGGTCCTTTCACCCGCCCTTCGTCGCTTGCATTTGTTAGTAAGTTAAAGCTCAAAATCAAACACTACTACTATCGTTGGGTTGCCTCCCAACCAGCGCCTTATTTAACGTCGTGGCATGACGGTTACAACATTTCAATGGGTTGCCTCCTATCCAGCGCCTGATTTAACACCGCAGCACGACTCAACATGTTCTCAAGCATCCTTCAAGTCCAATGAGGTCTTGTGAATTGCAAAGTCACCACCCCAGTAATGTTTTATCCATTGACCGTTCACCAAGAAAGTGCCAGTGGAACTCATATCTCTCAACTCCACGGCTCCATGAGGCTTTACGCTTACCACAACAAAAGGGCCCGACCAACGAGATTTAAGCTTTCCGGGAAAAAGCTTCAACCTCGAATTGAACAACAGAACTTCTTGCCCTAGCTCGAACTCTCGATGTTGAATGTGCTTGTCATGCCACCTCTTAGTCTTTTCTTTATACAATTTGGCATTCTCATATGCATGTAATCGAAACTCCTTGAGCTCATCGAGTTGTAGCAACCTCGTTTCTCCAGCTAAGTCCCCATCCATGTTTAGCTTCTTTATTGCCCAATAAGCCTTGTGCTTAAGTTCGATGGGCAAGTGACATGCCTTCCCATACACCAATCTATAAGGAGAAGCACCTATGGGAGTTTTGTATGATGTTCGATACGCCCACAATGCGTCGTCTAACTTTCCGGCCCAATCTTTTCTATTTGCACTCACTGTTTTCTCAAGAATTTGCTTGACCTCTCTATTTGAAACCTCCACTTGACCACTCATCTATGGGTGATAGGCAGTGGAGACCTTATGCTTGACCCCGTACTTTGCAAGGACATTGTTTAACAGTTTGTTGCAGAAATGCGTACCTCCATCGTTGATCAACACTCTGGGCGTTCTAAAGCGTGTGAAGATATGCTTCTTGACAAAGCTTACCACCACCTTTGCATCATTAGAGGGAAGAGCAATGGCCTCCACCCACTTAGACACATAATCAACTGCCACCAAGATGTATCTATGGCCGTTCGAGTATGGAAAAGGTCCCATGAAGTCAATTTCCCAAACATCGAAGAGCTCCACTACCAGGATGTTTTGCAGCAACATCTTGTGCTTCTTAGTGATCGTCCCAATTCTTTGGCACCTGTCACACATTTTAACAAAGGTGTGTGCATCTCTAAACAATTTCGGCCAATAGAAACCTGATTATAACACTTTTTGGGCGGTCTTGTCTCCACCGTGATAACCTCCGTATGATGAGGCGTGACAACTATGAAGTATGGAACTCATCTCCTCCTCAGGAACACATCTCCGCACCAACTGATCTGCACATAGCCTGTATAAGAATGGCTCATCCCACATGTAGAGCCTCACATCATGCAAGAACCTTCGTCTATTGTCTGGTGTCAATTCTGGTGGTGTCACCCCACTTGCAATAAAGTTCACATAATCTTCATACCACGGGGATGTACTTGAGGTGATTACCAATAACAGCTCATCAGGGAATGTTTCTTTGATTGCATCCCCTTCATCCACATGGTTCCGATTTTCTAATCTGTACAAGTGATCAGCCACTTGATTCTCTGTTCCTTTGCAGTCTCGGATCTCTAAATCAAACTCTTGTAGCAGTAGGACCCACCGAATCAGTCTCGGCTTGGCTTCCTTTTTCTCAAACAAGTACCTAATGGCTGAATGATCTGTGTAGACGATGACTTTGGTCCCTACAAGATATAACCTGAACTTGTCAAACGCCCACACCACTGCAAGCAACTCTTTTTCAGTGATGGTGTAGTTCATCTGAGCTGGATTTAGAGTTTTGCTCGCATAGTAGATGGAGTGGAATATCTTATTTCTCCTTTACCCCAAGACAGCACCAACAACCAAGTCACTAGCATCGCACATCAACTCGAATGGCTGCTCCCAATCCGGAGCAATTATGATTGGTGCAGTAACCAACCTTCCTTTCAGCTCCTCGAATGCCTTCAGACAGGCATCATCAAATTTGAAGGAGACATCTTTCTCAAGCAACCTGCACAATGGAGAGGAAATTTTCGAGAAATCTTTAATGAAACGACGATAAAAACCTGCATGGCCCAAGAAACTGCGAATGCCTTTGACAGATATCGGTGGAGGCAATTTTCCAATCGCTTCCACCTTTGCCTTGTCCACCTACAAACCATCTTTGTACACCTTGTGCCCCAGGACTATACCTTCACGTACCATGAAATGGCACTTTTCCCAGTTTAGCACCAAGTTAGTCTCTTCACACCTAGCAAGTACTTTATCAAGGTTCATCAAGCAGTTATCAAAAGAGCATCCAAACACAGAAAAATCGTCCATGAACACTTCCACAAACCTCTCAACCATGTCAGTAAAAATGGCCATCATACACCTTTGAAAAGCCGCAGGTGCATTACAAAGACCAAAAGGCATTCGCTTGAACACATACGTGCCATAAGGACACGTAAAAGTGGTCTTCTCTTGGTCTTTTGGGGCTATAGCAATTTGATTATACCCCGAGTAACCATCTAAGAAGCAATAGTACTCCTGGCCAGTTAATCTATCAAGCATTTGGTCAATAAAGGGGAGGGAAAGTGGTCCTTCCGGGTGGCATTGTTCAATTTTCTGTAATCAATGCAAATTCTCCACCCGGTGACATTTCTTGTAGGTATTAAATCATTATTCTCATTAACTACTACAGTCATCCCCCCTTTCTTGGGTACACATTGGACGGGGCTTACCCATTTGCTGTCTGAGATAGGGAATACAATACATGCATCGAGCCACTTAATCACTTCTTTTCTTACCACCTCTTTCATAATTGGATTGAGTCGGCGTTGTTTCTCTACACTGGGCTTGCGTCCATCCTCCATGAGGATTTTATGCATGCAGAAGGCTGGACTAATGCTCTTAATGTCAGACATAGTCCACCCAAGTGCTCGCTTATGCTCACGTAGCACTCTCAACAGCTTTTCTTCCTGCAATTTAGACAAGTCAGATGAGACAATAACAGGTAAAGTGTCAGAGTCACCTAAATAAGCATATTGCAGGTAAGGTGGAAGGGGTTTAAGTTCCAATTTTGGGGCTTCCTCAATTGACGGCCTTGGAGGAGGCCCCTCTGGTATATTCAAAGGCTCGAAGGGGTGCGTCCCTTACAGGTACGCACAAGATGTATCAAGGATGTGCATAATCTCCTCAACCTCCTCATCAGTCCCCAGGATATCAAGTAACATAAGTGTTTTCTCTAGAGAATCGTCTAGATATACACTCGGATAATGAATCAGCTCATCGGCCTCAACAACAAATATCATTGAGAGCTCCTCATAGTGGGGGGGAAGTTGGATTGCTCTGTAGACATTAAAAACTGCTTCCTCATCATCTACCCGCAAAATCATCTTTCCCTCTCTCACTTTGATAATTGCATCACCAGTAGCTAAGAGAGGTTGCCCCAATATGATTGGAACCAGTTCATCAGCCTCATAATCAAGGATAATGAAATCAGCAGGGAAGATGAATTTCCCAATCTGCAGCAACACATCTTCAATCACCCCTTCAGGGTGTGCTATTGACCTGTCAACCAACTGCAACATCACAGTAGTTGGCCTTGGAGCTCCCAGACCCAATTGTTTGAACAAATACAGGGACATCAGATTTATGCTTGCCCCCAAATCACAAAGAGCACGCCCCACATCAACATTACCAATACGCACAGGAATCGTAAAGTTGCCAAGATCCTTAAGATTTTGAGGGAGCTTATTTTGGACCCTAGAAGTGCACTCCTCAGTAAGTGCAACTGTCTCAAAGTCAGTTAATCTTCTCTTGTGAGCCACTATATCTTTTATGTATTTAGCATACTTTGGAATTTCACGAAGCACATCAACGAGTGGGATATTCAATTGAACCTAGCTCAACATAGAGAGGAATTTTGTGAACATGCGATCATCATTCTTTTTCTGCAATCTCTGAGGAAAAGGTGGTGGTGGTCTAGGGGCCTCCACGGGCTCTAAAATTTCAGCAGCATTCTTTTGCTCTTGAGTCACTTTAGGGATCAACTCTCCCTCAGGTATGGGCTTGTCTTTCTTTTTCTTTGGCACTTCCTCTAGCTCCCTCCCGTTTCTAAGTGTAAATGCATTCACTTGAGGGTTCTTTTCTGTATCACTGGGGAGGGTGCCTGCAGGTCTAGTGTTTTGAGTTGTTGCTAACTACCCCATTTGCCTTTCAAGATTTCTGAAGTCGGTCCTGAGTTACTGATTGTCAATCAACAACTTCTTTAGCAGATCATTTGTACTTTCTTCCATTTGTTGGGGTGGTCTTTAAGGCTGATTGAAATTCCCTTGGGGTCTATGCTGATTCTGATTCTGCTGATTTCCACCCCATGAGAAGTTGGGATAATTCCTCCAATTTGGATTGTAAGAATTCCCGTATTGTGCATGCTGATTCGGTGGACCTCTGTTCTGTTGCCCCACATAATAGATGGATTCTGGATTTGTGGGGCACATATCACTCATATGACTGTCACCACAGAGTTCGCAGCAAATAGTCATCTGTTGTACATGTTGCATTATCTATGGTTGTTGCATTGTCATCCGAGTCATCTGATTGGACAGCTTTGCAATATCGGCTCTCATGGATGACACTTCGTCTAACTCAAGTAACCCATCTGATTTTTTCTTAACTGCCTTTCGTGAATCACCCTCACCTTGCCAGTTATTATCATTAGTAGTGAAGTTATTCAGCAAGATTTGGATTTCACTGTACGGTTTGGCCATGCAACTACCCCCACAAACGGAATCAAGATTCATCTTTGAAGCATCATCTAACCCATCTACAAAAGTGTGACCCAACCTCGTCCGTCTGGCAATGATGAGGACAGTCTCTGAGCATCTTCTTGTACATTTACCATGCTTGACGCAGTGTCTCGCCCGCTCGTTGTTTAAACCCAAGAATTTGACTCCTCAATACCTTTGTTTTCTTAGTGGGGAAAACTTGATTAATAATTTCCTCGCCAAATCATCCCAGGTGCAGATTGAATTTGCTGGCTCTTTATTCAACCACTCCTTAGCTTCCCCAATCAGTGAAAAGGGGAAAAGTGTCAGCCTGACATAGTCCTTGGAAACGTTTGGATAGTTGTAGGTATCCGTAATTTCCAAGAAATTCTGAATGTGCCTCTGCGGGTCTTCATGAGGTAAACCCATAAATAACCCTGTGGATTGGATCAGCTGCACCATGTATTGTTTCATCTCAAAGTGCCCAGTGATGTCAGGCTTCACAATAGCCTGAGTCATATTAGCCATACTGGGCCTTGCGGCTTCAATCACCGCGCTTTCCTCATTACCTGCCATCTCAATTGGCTATGGTTGAACTTCGATGTCCAACTCTCTTTCAATTCTGGTTCTAGCGTCCACCTCTATCCTCAATCTGTAAAGTGTTCGTTCAATTTCAAGATCAAGAGGAAGGAGATTGTTTGCACTTCTACTACTTCGCATTCAATAGAAACTCCTGTATTAGCACAAACAACATGAACTGAAAGTTAAAACTCGAATAAATAACTAGTACAAGCTCAATTTGGTCAAGTAGCTAATTTATAAGTCCCCGACAACGGTGCCAAAAACTTGTTGCGACCAAAAACACTTACGCAAGTGCACGTGATCGTCAAGTAATAGAGTAGTGAGTAAAGTATCGTTCCCACGAAGACTTATGATTAACTGTTGACTGATTCAAACCCAATTTCTTTATCTATCCAAGAGATTGTTTACAAAAGAGAGATGTAATTCTTTTACTACTTA